GGCTATGTGTAAGAGATAGAGAATTTGACTAGAAAAGAGTTATTTGGCTTGAGTTCAATAGTAATATAATAAAAAAAGCAAATACGATGATAAAATAAGAACTTTCTATTTTATTCTTTTCTGTTCTATAAATTGATTATAAATAAAAGGTAAATTTCTCTTGTCAAAGCATCAATCAATTGACCGTATACAATTGTTCCTACAAAGTAAATAAAAAGCTCTTTGTGTTAATAAACTAAAATGTTTTTTAAGTCTGTTGAATTATCCAAGTTTTAATAAATACTCAACTTGAGCTTTAGACTGTGCCAAATCATTCCCACCTCCAAACTGTTGAGTATCTTTGTGTGATATTTTTATTTTTGGTGTGTGTGAATTATTTATTTGGCCCATGACAATATTTAATTAGTACTGTAATCTTTTTACTACAGGTCTGTTTGTTAATAAGCTCATCAAAAATAATACTATTTTATTAATAATAGCAAGCAATCCAAAAGGTCATAATTTTCACAATTATTTTACTTTAATAAAAAATAATCAAAACAAGTTCAATGCTATAGCTATATGTAACTTTTGTACAGCAAAATATAGAGGAGTACAGGCAGCTTTGTTAGTTGAAGGTGCATATACATCAAATAAAGAAAATTTATATTGAAGTCATCTTGCTAAATGTGAGAATTTTAAGAATAATTATAATACTAAAGAACATGATCAAATATTGGTGCTTCCTGTTGCTGAAGATATAAAATGAAAAAAAAGATACTTCAGGTAAAAAAATAAAAATATATATATAAATAAATTATTTGCTAATTAAACTAATTAGTTAAAAATTAATATACTTAATTTATTAAGATGATGATGATATGAATCTACCATCTTCAAGCAAAAAGTAAGATTCAAGTTTAGAACCTGCGGTATCATCTACTCAGAAATTAGTTACAAGTTATTATTACCTCTCTACAATCCAAAAAAATAGACCAAAATTTGAAAATTTCTGTTTGCATATGATTGTTTCAAATGGGTTGCCTTTTATGTTTTTTGAAAATGAAGAAACTCAAGTGGTATTTAATTTTATTTTTCTAGAATTATTCTTCCAAAGCACAAAACAATTGGAGGGCAATTATTAATAAACAATACTGAATTGGTCAAAGCTGAAGTAATAAAAGCTGCACAATTAGACTTAGATAGTGTAATAGCAGTATTTGACGGATAGAGTAATGTTAAACAAGAGCATATTTGGGGAATTGTCTTTATTACTTTACAAGGAAGAGCACTAATTTGGGGTGCTCATGAAATTAGTTCAGAGATTCAAAACTGCCAATATAATTGACTATATTGAAAACTTAATAAGTGAAGCAAAAGAAAAAATATTAATATTAAGGCATTTATTTCAGATTCTGCTAGAGAATATATTGCAGCACAGTAATTATTATACTATATTTATTTTTTTTTTTTTTTTTGGTTTTAAGATGAGGGCTTGCCTCGTTTCTTTTTTTTGTTTTTAATTTTTTTGCCTTTTTT